CTGCAGCCCCCAGATGGAGATCCCTCTGTGAGATGAAAGAATGGCTGACGGGATCTGAGGAAGTGGGAGCCTGTAATTAGACACCAGCAGTCAGCACCCCGGCCTGGGAGCCTGAGCCCAGCCCTCCTTCCAGAAAGCAGCCGCATCTGGATGCTACTGCACAGATGTGGGATGTAGGCCAGAGGCTTAGGCTCACTGCTTTGGCAAGGTCTCCATCCTCCGGACCTGGGGGATGGCAGGGACGGGGCTACCGCCTCCTGGGGGGGGGGGTCCCTGGAAAAGCAGACAGCTACCTGCCAGGAGCCCTATCCTGAGACCCATAGCCCCCCACTCCTGCCCCACTTGAAATAACTTTGCCCCCATCTGAACTCTCCCCCAGGCCTGGATTTTGCCTTTCTCATATATGCTGCTTCCTAACTTATATTTGTAGTGTTGTTTTTCTTTCTAAAAAATGGTACAGTGGAAAGAGACAAAAGTCTGGATGCAAGTCCCAGCTCTGCCATGTGTTACTGTGTGACCCTAGGCAAATGACTCCGCTTCTTTGAACCTCAGCTTCCCCATCTACCAACTGGAGTAAAAGGGTTCTAAGGATTCCTTTTTTCAGGCCCTACTAGATTCTAAACTCCTGGAGGGCAGGGTCTAGGATCTCTGTGTGGCCCTTGTTTTTGTTTGGAACAAGACCCTGCCCATGGAGAGGCCTCAGTCAACGCTAGTGGGGTGGATGGATGAAGACCCCCGCCTCCATTACAAAGGGGGAGGCTGATGTGGTCGGGCCCGGAGGCTCTTCATCAGGAAGGCAGCTGCTAGCGGGGGGCCCTGGGCATACACTGTGGCTTTGACGCTCTGCGGAGGGCCACAGCACGGAGGCCCTGTCCCTCTTGGGTTGGCCCAGGTCCCTGCCTGAAGAGCATGGGGAGAGAGGGCTCTCCTCCCCCTCGAGTCTCTCACGCCACCCGTGAGGTTTCAGTTTCATGGGGGTGGAACTGAGAGGGGCCTTACATGGCACCTGCCTCTGGCTCAGGCAGGCACACCTGAGTGACACATCGCAGCCTCCTATTGAACCCAAACCACGCTGGTCCACCCACCACGCCTCTTGCGCTTGAACTCTCACTTCATGTCCGCGGCCCGTCTGGCCTGGGGACGAAGGAGCACTGCGTCTTCCCCAGTCAGTCTGGTGCAGTCGGGGCCATGGTTGGAGGTGTGGCTCAGCCACTTGGGGAATGTGCCTTCCACTGCCAGGTGGGACAATGAGTACCCACCTTTGTTGTTATGACGGTCTGGAGAAAGTTCATGAGGTGCCTGGAATGTTGGGGGCGCCCAATAGGGAGTACTATCATCCTTACCACCAGAGGCCCTGAAAACAAGGGGCCTGCCACATTCTAGACACATCTCCTCTTCTCTTCCAGAATCTTGGTCAACATGGACAACAACATCATTCAGCACTACAGCAATCACGTCGCCTTCCTACTGGACATGGGGGAGCTTGATGGCAAGATTCAGATCATCCTCAAGGAGCTGTAAGGCCCAAGCATCCACCCCCCTCGGACCCCTTGGGGTAGGGGTAGGCTCCAGGCAAGGAACCGTCTGGGAAGTGGCCCCACGCCACACACAACCTCTCCTCATGCCTCAGTGCTGTTACTTGAATGCCCTCCCTGAGGGAAGAGGCCCTCACATTGCAAACCCACAGATGCCAAGGTCAGGAAGGGACCTAGGAGGTGTCCTGACCTGAACCTCAACTCGTGCTTGAATCTACGCTGGATTTCCTGCCAGTGCCGGCCCAGCCAGAGACAGCGCCAGCTTGGCTAACGTCCCCGCAGCCTGTCTCCTCCTCAGAAGACTGTGTTCTCTCAGTCCATCTCCTGGCTGGCTATTCAGATGGTGGAAGCGGACCCTCTTTCCCCCACAGCTGCCTGACTCTTGTCCGGCTTTCATTCTTGATTCTTCTATCCACTTCAGACCCTTTGGTCAATTAGCTGGAAAACTCTTTTGATTTTCAGTGTAAACAATTTTTAAATGTTACCAGAGTGGAAACACTCTCTTTCTCACGGATTTCCTCAATACAAGATGTAAATAATCGAGCTGATTGGTTGGAACAAAATAGCTGCTGTAAAAGAAACAACTTCCATGCCTGTTCACTGATGTACACATTTCTTATTTACAATTGTCATTTATGTTATATATATAGAAGTATATATTGTATATACATGCAACATTTTATATTTTTCATGGATACATTTTTATCATTTCAAAAAATGTGTATTTCACATTCTTGGACTATTTTTTTTTAGCTGTTATTCAATTATGCATTTTGTATACTCACATGGTATTTAGTAATAAAAATCTCCCTATGTATTACTTCAAATACTACACATGTTCCTTTTGTGAAAGTCTTCCCAGGAAGGGAGGGTGAAAGCAGATTAGGCCCGCCCCCTTCCGTCCTGCGGGTGGTTTACCCTGGACTCGAAGGCTGGTGGCGCGTCCTGGGCACTGGAGAAGCAGAGGTGCCCCCGGGAAGGCAGCAGGATCCTGATGTCGAGATCTCTGTCTGGCGTGGTCACACAGGCTGAATGTTATGACCTTGGGACCATTGACTAGAGATGGAGAAGTCCCGGGAAGGTCAGGATGGCCTTGCCACGGACCGCACAGCTGGGGCCAGTGGGCAGAGCCCACGGCTGGGAGCCACGTGGCCTGAGTTCCTGTGCCACCTCTGCCCCAACAGTCCGGGCCAAGTCATTTTCCCTGCAGCTGACTCGGCAGCTTACAGAAATGGGTGCTCCTATGTCTTCCCAGCTCTGCGGTCATGACATCATGTTGGTACATGGGGGAGTATTTATGCCCCAGAAATTGACAACTGCTACAAATCAAGGCCTTTATTTCCTCTAGGGAACAAATGACAGATCAGAGCATCTGTCCTTCTTTCCTTTCTTCCTTCCTTCCTTTGCCAGCTTCCTAGCACACCACCACCTCTAGGCCTCAGTTTCTTTAGCTATGAATGAGGGTTCTACGTGGGTCTTTGTAACTATCATCTTTAGAGCCCCAGAGCTGATTGGTGGGTCTCAGAGGCCACCTCGATATGGGGGAGGGGACAGCTGCAGCCTCTGAGGATCCTCCCGACTTCACTCATGGTGGATCAGCTTTTCCCCTTTTACACATCAGGGTTTCCCGTAAACTTTTGTCTGAACAAAACTTTTAAACCGTTTGTAAACCACAGATGCCTCCAAGGGCCTCTCAGCTCTGACAGTCGGAGCCAGTGGTCTTAATTCCCACGGCCCTGCCTGGAGTCACGGCCAGGGCCAGGGTCAGGCCAGCGAGGCCCGAATCTCAGGCACAAAAATTAGGAGGAGTCAAAGAGCTCAGGAATCAAGCGAAATCAATGCAATGTTTTTTGGGTTTTTGTTTTTTTAAATAAAGGCAAAAACAAATCCACAATGAACAAAATATCAACATTTGAAGCCAGGATCAGTATTACTTATGTCTCCTGTGACCTCAGACACCCGTATGGCTTGCATGTCACCGGCTCGAGGGACCCTGTAGGCATCCAAATGGCTGTGTCCATTCCAGGCCTCACGACAGCTATGACGTCACCCAAGCTGTCAGCGCAGGACAACGCGTGAGGGTGGGATGGCAGGATGTATGCAGGGAGTCAGCACATTGCCAGGCGCACCGGAGGTGCTCAGCCTCTGTTCACTTCCTTCCTTCTTGAGCTTCCTGCCAGAAGCAGCTGGGGAGCCGGCAGATGGTGCTTCTCCAGCTTGGTTTCGCCCTTGGAATCACCTGGGCAGCTTTTATCCCTTTGCCCACTGCCCAGACCCCACGGCCTGGAGCATTTCTTTATCTATTTTTTAAAATTTTATTTGTTTTGGGGCACCTGGGTGGCTCAGTTGTTAAACGTCTGCCTTCGGCTCAGGTCATGATCCCGGGGTCCTGGGATCGAGCCCCGCATCGGGCTCCCTGCTCCGCGGGAAGCCTGCTTCTCCCTCTCCTGCTCCCCCTGCTTGTGTTCCCTCTCTCGCTGTCTCTCTCTCTCTGTCAAGTAAATAAATAAAATCTTAAAAAAATAAAATTTTGTTTTTAAGTAAACTCTACACCCACCGTGGGGCTCAAACTCACGATCGCAAGATCAAGTGTCACATGCTCTACCAACTGAGCCAGCCAGGTGCCCCCGCCCTGGAGCATTTAAATCAGAATTTCTGGGGGTGGACCCAGACCTCAAAACTTTTTAAAGCACCCTGGTGATTACAGTGTGCAGTCAAGGTCAAGAACCACTGCTCCACAGAGGCCATAATTATACAGGCCTTGAAGCCTTTGTCATCTGCCAGGGTCTGGCTGGATTAATACACACAAGGAATCAGTATCTGCGCAAATCAGAGCATCTGTCTTCCTGCCGAGGGGTTCAGGAAGAGAGCTGGGCAGCCCCACACCCGCCATCCAGCAGCCGCAGTAAAGCCACGAGGGCTCGGTTCTCCTCAGCAAAGCCACCACATGATGAGACCAGGGCTGTCAATGCCTATAAAAGCCATTTGAGCCTCAAAGAGAGGCCTGCCCTCTGAGAAGTCAGGGGCCAAGCATGCCTCCTGAGCCTGACAGCTGCCATTTTAGGACCGTCTTTTACTCCAAAGAGTCAAAGGGGGAAAGGAGCTAAAGTAATTGCTTTCCAAACAGGAGTGACTTTAGAAAGGTGGCCGTCAGCTGGTGGAGAGTGCATCTCCTGCCTGGTGGCTTTCCCCTGGAAGACAAGAAGCCAGTGAGGGGGAAAGGGATGAAGGAGGAAAGCAGGCGTGAGGTATGAGTGAGTGAGGGAATGAAGAGAAGGAAGGGAGGGAGGGAAAGAAAGAGGAGGGAGGGAGGGAAAGAAAGAGGAGGGAGGGAGGAGGATAAATAGGCGAACAGCAGACAAGTGAGCAAATGGAAGCCAAATGGAGTTGAGCAATTAAGTGTATTTATTAGACCTTCACTACCCTAAGTGTCGTCCATGGACCAGCAGCATCAGCATCGCCTGAGAGCTCGCTAGAAATGCTTACACCAAAAACTAGTACAATGTTCTATGTCAATTATATCTCAAAAAAAAAAAGAAAGAAAATGAAATGCAGACTCTCGGGTCCCATCCCAGATCTACAGAATCTGCCTTTTATAACAAGCTATCCAAGTGATTTGCATGCACATTAAAATTCGGAAAATACTTTAATAAACTATCATTGTATCCTAACCCTAACTGGGACACATTATCATCATGCTGGGAACTTTAATACAGATACCAAGGCCCAGACCCTACCTCAGATTAATTAAATCAGAACTCTAAGGATTGGGGCCTGGGCAGCCTGTCTCTGTAACAGCTCCCAAGGTGATCCTAACGTATGGCCAGGGTCTGAGAACCGCTGGGCTGGACAGGCTGTAGACAGCTCATGACACGTTAAGAGAGGCTAGACATGGTCAAGACAGACCCTCCGAGTTCAGGGCCTCAGCTCCACTCATGTCTTTGATAGAACCCGGATTCAGACTGGCCAAGGGCAGCCCTGCCATTCTTTTTCCCAGAGTCCCCTTTTTCCTGACCCCACGTGGAGGGGGCTCCTCTGGAGAGACGGCCTTTACCTGCCGGTGCTCAGCCTGGCTGCCCGAGGGCAGGAGAGGCCTGGCTCATTTTCCTATACATTTCCCAGCCTCTGCCCACAGAGACCCTAGGGCCGGCGGCGTCCAGCCCAATCGTCTGCTAAAGGTCCCCCAGGGTCAGAGGGACCTAAATCTCAAGGCGTTGGGGTCTGGCCCCATTGTCAAAAGTCTGGGTTCAAAGAAAGGTACAGCATCAAGTGCCAACTTTGCAAGGGTCTTCCAGAACTTCTACAACCCAAGGGGACAACGGATGGCCTGCAGAAGTTTCCTTTAGCCCCAACAAAAAATTTCAAGTTGAAAGATGGTTGTCAACATCTCCAATCAGGAGATTTCACATTTTAAAGACTTCCCAGATTCCATTGAAACTCTGCAGATGTGGCCACAGTTAGCTGGAGCCGTGTTGGATGCCCCTTCAGACGAGCGGCCTCAGCTCCCACTCCCTATCCCGGCCTTACCTACTTTCCTCTACGCACTACCTGCCCAGCCCCTGGAAGTGTTGACCTTGAGCCCCGGAATTTGAATCTGACTCTTCTCCTTCAAGGAGAAGCTACGGACCCGACAGGAGGGGAACACAAAGCATTCTGCCCCGAGGTCCAGCCTTGCACGGTGCTTTGCCAGGTGCTCCAGGCCACCTCCCACGCACCCCAAGACAGCGTGCATTGGCGGGAATCTGGGGTTCACAAAAAGGCCAGCTCTTGTGAGATGCAAGAATTCAGTTTAATTGGCTATGGTATTCTATCCTTCTCCCTCCCTCTTCCTCACCCACCCCTCCCCAAAGGGAGGGCCAGTCAGCAGCCATTCTGACAGGAAGGTCGTTCTCTGGTCACAGAGAAAAATCAGAGGCAGGGCCCGGGGAGTGAGACGTCTTGACTATGTGGGGCACGGGAAGGGGGCTGCACCAGAGCCCTGCACTTGCAGACGGGAACAACGGTATTTGGGGAAGGAGGGGATGGGTGCTCAGTCCCAGTTCCCCTTGGTTCTTTGGGAATCTCTTCCTCTTGCCAGGAGGAAACCGATTTGGCGGGCCAGAAAATATCCACTAAAGACTGTGTCGCACTTGAGCAGGAGGTCTGGGAGGAGATGGAGGCCAGGCCCGGGGACAGGGAAGTCCCGGGGAAAGAAAGAACCTGCAGGCGCCAAGTGGTGCGTGGCCTCCCTGCCCCTCAGAATCGCAGTTTCCAGGGCCCTGGCTCCGGCAGGCTCCTGCCCACATGGGCTGCCCAATACTGAGCCACTAAGTGGATGTGGTGGCCTCTCCTGAAGGCGGGTAATGAACACAAGTGACCACGGTGACTGGCTGCCATGCTCTTCCCAAACATGAGATACGAAGGCTCAGCTGGAGGCAAGGGCCCGGGCAACCCCTTCATGTCTGTCACATGCACCTCTGGGCCTGCCCAGCTCCTGAGACTCCAGGGGAAGTCTGCAAGTCAAGGCCGAAGGATGGGAGTGTGCCTGTGTTGCGGTCCTGTGTGGTCCACCCAGCAGGTGCACTCTGGACCCCAGAGCCGTGGCTCAGCATCAGGCTTCTAGATGTGGAATCTGCTGTTGGCCACCTTCTCCCTGGAGTCTGAGCTTCAGCAGCCCCCTACATCCATGGGGAGGCTGCGAAAGCCAGCATGGACAGGTGCATGGCCAGGTAACCAAGGGAGGCCCTGTCCACTCCTCATTTCTGCTCAGGAAACCACCCAGTCCAATCTCCAGGGGGCAGCTCAAGACAAGGACAAACGCAGGAGCCCAGCTCTACACCAGCTAGGGGCGGAGGGGACGGGAGCAGAGCTGCCCCCTGGGGAGTCATCTGTCACTCATGAAATGGGCATTCTCTGAATGAATGTCCTGGGGAACCTGGGTGGGGCAGCTGGTGGCCAGGGTTCTCCCTGAGCTTGTGTGAGTCCCTACAGCACTGGGATCCATTTGTTGTCCTCGTTGTAGAGAAAGGACTGCTTTCCAGGGAATTCTGGCCTATACGTGGCTGTGAGGCAAGAGAGAGGGAGAGAGAGAGAGAGAGAGAGAGACAATATTAAGAGAGCAAAGGCCAGTTACTCAAGCCCCTGTCATTCTACATCAGAGCTGGCATGACCAGGGGTAGTCCCGTCCCGGCCTCTGTATCTTACACATGGGGAGGCAGAGAGGGGAGGGGACTGGCCTGGCTGAGGCAGGACTTGAACTCTGGCTTTCAGCCTTCTTTAACTCCCTGTAACTTCTTTAGCAGAAGAAAATTTACAAAAGAGTTTTCTATCAGATTTGAAAAAACTATGGAGTAAAGCAATACTTCGAAAGAAGCAAGGTGTCACCTTGGTGGGGTTTTGTTTTCATTTAGTTGAGAAATTTTCAGAAGGGAAGGGGTGCCTGGCTGGCTCAGTTGATAGAGCCTGTGACTTTTTTTTTTTTTTTCAAAGATTTTATTTCTTTTTTGACAGAGAGACAGCGAGAGGGGGAACACAAGCAGGGGGAGTGGGAGAGGGAGAAGCAGGCTTCCCGCCGAGCAGGGAGAGCTCGATGCGGAACTCGATCCCGGGACCCTGGGATCATGACCTGAGCCGAAGGCAGACGCTTAACGACTGAGCCACCCAGGTGCCCCGAGCCTGTGGCTCTTGATCTCCGGGTCATGAGTTCAAGCTCCACACTGGGTATGGAGCCTACTTAAAAAAAGAAAGGGAAAAAAAAAAGAAATTTCCAGAAAAGCGAAAGCCATGACAACTGCAGGCACATTCTCTCTAGGAGACCAGGTGCTAGGACCACCTGGGGGTGAATGGAAACTCTCAGACTGATGCTGATTTGGCTAACGAGGGTCCAGGCCGATGAGAGCACCAAGCAGTCCAGACTGATCTGGACCCACCGGAAACCAAGAAGGCAGATGTTTGCATGGGGCTTCCTCCAGGCCACCCCTCAGGGAAGCCCACCCTGGCACAGGTGATCATGGCAACAGGAAGTGGTCTGCGCCTGGGCGCCAGGTGTCCCACACTACGTGCAGAAGGGAGAAGACCCTCAGGACAAGCTTCTAGAGGCCTGGGTCACACAGGCTCAGACAAGGATCCTGACTGGGCCCTGGGCCTCCTGGAGACTACCGTGTGTATGGAGTGTTAGTACCTTTGCCCAGCCAAGCTGAGCTCTGCCTGGCCTGACCAGTGACCGCCAGGTCCAACCTCTGCAGTCTTCTTGACTGGATTATCATTTCTACATTTCCAAAGCTCTAAGGATGGCTTTCCCCGTCCTGTCCACCTTACATTTTACTCACCTGCATGTGTGGAGAGGAAGGTGTCTCCCCTACCAGACTGACGCCTCTGGGGGTAAGCACCAAGCTAAGTCACCTCTGTCTCCCCAGGGTGGGAGCGTCACCAGTGTTCACCGAAAGACTGAATTACGCAGACCTGCAGCCCCCTCGGCTCTGCCTTCCTCCTCCCACACCACCTGCCTGCCAACACACCTGTCGGTCCCCAGTGCCACCAGCTCTGGCCGACATAAGGGGGTGGCATAGCTAAGGGGCTCGAAGAGAGCTACAGAGAGGTCAGGGAGTTCAGAGACCAGCTGCTGGAGTAGGTCCCTCATGCTGTTAGCTTCCAGGTAGGTCCCAAAGGTGACAGGGCCCCCCCGTGTCAGCCATCTGGAAAAAGGCAGAACTAGACCGTTCCCAGGAGCTGCTCCAGGGAAGAGTCCCTGGCGTGTCTCGTGACAACAGGGCACGGAGGGCACGGAGGGCACTGAGGGGAGACAGCCTGCTGCTCCGGCCTGCAGCTCTCTCACTGTGGCTCAGCGTACAACTTGCTCTCTGGGCCCTTCCCAGCTGTCAAGTGATTCGGCCAGAGTGATCTAGACATTTCTAAGAACGTGCAATTGTTGGACAATCTAACAAAAGCTATGGCCCCTTTCTCCAAAAATTAGTGTCTTCGTGCTCCAAGTCTGCAGGCAAATTCAGGGTCACAGACCCCTCTGGAGCCCATCTCTGAGCCTCTTGGACATCCATGGTCATTGATTACAAATCCCTGGCCTGGATTAACTCTAAGAGCCCTTCCACCTAAAAACAAAAAACCCCTTTCATACTCCAAAGGTGCAAGCTTAAAAGTATCCCAGATCGACTCTAACCTCTGTAACCTGTTTGGCAAACAGCCTATAAATCAGTGACATCTGATGGCCCAGGAATGACAAACAATCCCAGATCTGGTTTTTATAGTCATTTAAAACACTCCTCTGACCTGGGCCCGGCAGGCCTGGCTGGGACGGGGCCGCTGTCCACCGGCTGGTGCTGGACACAAAGGACGCAGAGGAGATGAAGTGCCTGGGGGGCCCCGCGTAGTCCACGATCTCGTACTGCCCAGGACCTGGGAGGGGCGGCTGCGGGGGCAGGGGCAAAGGCTGCGCCGAGAAGTTCAGGATGGGGTTTTTCCTTCAAAAAAGACAATATGTGAAGATAGCACTCAAGCAGTCTGTCAACCAAGCCGAGACCTGGCGGGTACCGAGTTGTCTGCATGAGGACCCTCAGGCACCAGGAGACCTGGGCGGAGCCTGGCTCCGCTGCTTGTGAGGCGGTGGGGGGGAGGGGGGCCCGGAACCTCACTTTCCTCTTCTGCACGATGGCAGATTCACAGGACTAAACTCATAGGCTTGTTGTCAGGCTGCAAAGAGATGACGCACCTCCAGCAGTCATGGGGGGGGGGGGCAGCACAGAGCGAGAGCACAGTAGGCACTTTACAGATGTCGTTGCTGAACTGGTCAGGAAATGGGACAAGGCCTCCTGAATTCTAGCGATTTGCCACTCCAGATCAAGAGACCTGGCCAGCATTGACATTTCAGAATCCTACTAAATGTCTTCCTGGCAAGGCAGGATGTGCGAGTGGGAAAATACTTGGTTGGAAATCAAGAGCCCTCTGCCTCACACTTACCATTTACACTGAAATTGTTCCTTTCCGGGTTTATCTCCTTGCCCTTCAGGAAAAGGAGTCTTTTACGTCCGGCATCGAGAGACTACATGAAAGGTCAATGAAACCCATGCTGGAGCCCGAGCTCTGTCGCTAATTCACTCTGGGCCTTAGTCTCCCCATCTGCAGAATGAGGAGATTGGATATGATATCCTCTAAGGTCCCTTCCAGCTATGACCAGGCCATGGTTCAAAGAGGTCCACTGGTTGCCCAGGGAATTCTGGGATTGTTCTGGGAATCCCACTCCTCTCCCGGCCGTGCAGTAGAAGGCTGCCCACTCCTACCTCACGTCTGAGGCTTCGTCTAAGGTCTTTCACCAAAAGGAAAGGGAAAGTTCTTACGGCACCGAATAGCCACAGGAGACTCACCCCAGCTGGCAGCCAACCCACCCAAACAGAGGAGGGGACCGGGATTCCCGGCCATTGGTGCCCTGCTGCCCTTTGGCCAACACCTTTGGAAGCGAGGGCATTTTTAAACTCAGAGAGCTAGAGGGGGCCTAGGGATGTCTTATCCAACCTCCTCATTGTGCTAAAGAAATTGGAGCCCAGAGAGAGGAAGCGAGTCCCCCAAAGTCACCGAGCCAATGAGTGGTAATACCAGCTCCAGAACTCAAGTCTCAAGGGCCTAGCAGTTTGGGGAAGGCATCACGGCCGAGGGGAACCTTTGAGATTTCGAGTCATGCAGACCGGCATCTGAATTCCAGTCATCCCACTTACTGGCTGTGAGACCTCAGACGAGTCCCTCGACCTCTCTCTCCCTGCAGCAAGGAGCAACAACACTCTCTCTCTGTATGGTACTTGGTGAGTGGAGAAAGGAAGGCACTTGGCTTTGCACCAGCCCACAGTAAATGCTCAATAAAAGCAGCTGTTGTTAGTAGGATGGCCCTGCAAGCCCGCTGCTTGGTCTCAGGGCAGCAATGGAGCCTCAGAAAGAGGCTAGGGGGCCCCTTGCACAGAGTCACCCTGGGGCAAGCTGGCCACTCCCACTGCCAGGCTGTTGAAAGTCATCGTCAATCTGCTTGAGGCTCACATCTCAGGACAAACGGACAGCTGGCTGGGATGCTTATATTTAGAACAAAGGTGCCCACAGGAAAAGGAGAAAAAACCATGCCTCTTTCTTGCCCTCCAGCTGACATGGAAGAACTAGTTGTAGTGTGTGATCAACCACCTCTCCCCTTAGAAATGAAAGCAGGCTTCTCCTTGTTCTGGCTTGTGTCACCCCTTCAAAGCACCCCCAGAAATTTGATGAGTGTGGGACTGGCATCACTGAGAGATAGGCTTGAGTCCTAAAAGCTGGAGCCAGAATGAGCCAACCACTACATGAGGTCACCCCAGGGGTCTGGGTCACCCCCGGGCCCCATTCTTTGAGAAGGCCATGAGGTGTCTACTCTCCTAACTGGGGACAGTTTGCGGGAGGCTGGGCCAGTGTCTCATCAGGATTCTTGGCAAGAGGGCCTAGAGAGATTCCTTGCCCTCCACCCCATCCACGTGCCCAGGAGAGGCTCAGCACCGGCAGCTCGGCTCTCTGGATCCTTAAAGAGCACCAGCCACATGTGCAGCCATGTGCCAGGCACTCTGGGGAGTCCAGACTGTTCTGTGCTAAGACACAGACCCTGAATGCTCCCAAGGGCTTGACAGTCCCCTGCTAGTGCCAGTCGTGGCTGGTGATTAAGGAACTACAAGCTCTGCACCCACACAAACTTGGGTTTGAATCCGCACTCACTAGCCGTGTGACCTTAGAGAAGTCTCAGCCTCCCTAAGGCTCCGTTCCTTCATCTATGAAATGGGCGATAATAATACTTTCCATCCAGGTTTCTTATGAAGATTAATTGGTGCTTTACTTGTATTATTTTTTTTAAAGCAAGAAATATTAGAATAGAGGTAAAAACACTGCACTGGGGAGTGGGGTCGGAGGGGTGGGGGGATTCCAATTACGTGAATCCAGAACTCTACCCTAGAAGAGCTAACGTTTGCCCAGCAAGGTAAGCAGGAATTCTTCAGGTAGAAAAGGGCATTTCCCACAGAGGAAACAGCAGGGGCAAGAGCATGGACGAGGCATGAGCTGCAGCTGCATGTGGCAGGAATTGGGACAAGGAGGCAGACACTACGGAGCCTCCTAGACTACCTTCAGCCCTCAATGCACCCATGACTTCTAGGATGTCCACCTGTTTCTGACCATCCACCCTCACAAACCCCGATGAGAAGCTAAATGAATAGCTCCTATTTATGGCCTCTCCATCCAGCCTAACCTCCCATGCCACTTGCTCCCATTTGACCTTCCGGAAACCCCCAACACAACACTGTTCGACCACGCCTTGCCTTTGCCTGCGCTCTTCCTTCTGCCAGGATCACCTCCTTTCCCTGCCAACTCTGATCAGTCTTCACATCTCACATCCTTCCGGGAAGGATTTCTGTGGCCCCTGCCCTCCCCCTGCCCCATTGCCCTTCCTGGGGCTCCACAGAGCAGCATGGCTCCTGGAGTCAGCTGGACCTGCATGCCACTCCTTGCTCCACCACCTTCATCTGTACTCTATGTAACAGTACTGTCCTGCAGGGGAACTGGCAGCGTGACGCTAGGTGACATCCACAAAAGCTCTTAGCTCAGCGCAGCTGGGCCCTCGATACATTCTAGCCCTTCTTCTTTTCTCTGTACAGAACATGCTAGGTTTTCTAACGCTCTTTACGTGCCTAGCTCTTTAAGGCGGGGGACTGCATCTGACTCATCTTTGAGGCCCCATCCCTATTCCCCAAGACATTTGCTGAACTGCAGAGAAAAGCGGAGGGGTCTCAGCAAGTCGGGGAGCCCAGACATCTGAACCCCACCTGACAGTTTTAACATCGTTTGGGGCTGCTCCCTCCACGGCGGGGTGGGGCTGGGCAGATCACAAAGGTCATGCTGGATCAGACCCAGGGCAGCCCTCAGTGCATTGTGACCGGGGCTTTTATGAGCCTCATTGCTCAGTTATAAAAGCCAACCTGGTCCTGCCCCGTAGAAAGAAAACATCTATCAAAGGCTCTGAGTTGGCCACAACTGGATTAAGTATGTTTGCAACTCCCAATGTGAACTGTTTGCAAATCGCCCAAGAATAATGAATGTCTCCGAGGACTCAGCAGGTCACTCGGGGAAGGCATCCGAGACCCTCGGGACACTCCCAGGCACCGATTCACTCTGCCTCGGGGATTCCCAGGGTTGGGCGGGATAAAGGGGCAATTTTTTCTCATCATTAAAGGGCAGCCGGTTGCCTCTGGGGTGGAATGCAGCATCTGTTTAACAGGGTAGAGGGTGACAGATTACAGCCGCTTGGGAAGAAGCATCCCATATCTAATTGAAAATCCCAGGGGAACTTTAGGTGGGCCATGATAATTACCCAAATTGGCGCAGGGCCAACAGGGTTTGATTCTTCAGCTCTGGCTGTGGCAGGACAGCGTGTCTGTGCAAAACCAGTGGCTTAGAAACTCCAGGAAGCAGATCAAGGGTTAGAAAGATGTCAGTGGGCGTTTCTCCTCCCTGCTGGCGAGCGTGTGTGGAAGGCAGCACCCGGGAGGGACTAGTTTGATCTCTAAAAAGCCCTTATCCTGACTCACCCTGATTCACTGACTCATCACTGTGACGGTATTGAAGACCTGAAGCGGACACCTCACTTACCTTTGAAAGCCCCCGCTGTAAGCCGATAAATGCTCTTAGCTTTGCGTCGGAAGGTGGCCACTGCAAAGAGACAGCTGTGCGCTGTTCTTCAGCTAGGGAGCCCAGACATGGTCATCCGAACATCCTGCCAGCCCTTAGCACAGCACCTGCCCTCCAGGGGCCACTCAAGAAGCAGCAGGTGAGTACAGACGACCCGCTCACATACCTCAATAAAAATACAAGTTGCGTGTATCGAAAGCTTACCGTGCGCCAGACCTGGTGAGTTCTGGGGGTTATCTTATGTTATCCTCGCAAGCACATTACCAAGTGTTCGTTTCACAATTTGCAGAGTTGAATTTGAATTCCTGGGAGTTAAGGGCCCCCTCCCCACCCCCAGGCTCCCAGAGCTGGGGAGTGGGGAAGGGCGGTTCAGTGCTGGTCTGACTCGGAGCCTGTGCATACACACATCCCCTAGGCCACATTGCCTCTGTAGCTCATTCTCAGCTCTGGGGGCCAGAGGGGGAGAGCGGAGACAAGACAAGCCCATGCCTGGCCCCCTGCCGGCCTCCCAAGCACATCAGCCAACCCTCAACTCCCTGGGCTTCACTTTTGTTGGTGGGTAACATGGGACCAGCCATTCTAGGGACAACTCATATCGCCCGATTCTTCCTGCATCCTCAAGAAAGCAGAGCCTAAAGGTTACTTTTGCAAGCTGGGACCCTCCCCCAAAATAAGGAGCCAAGCACTGTAATTCAAGACAAATAAGGAACCTGGGCTGCTTGCACTAGCCACAAGGAAACCCAGTGATGACTCTCAGGTTCTCTGCCACTGCCCCATGCAGCCCTGGAGAGCGAATAGTGCTCAGACTTGGTGTGGATAAAGTCTCAACGAAGTTACATAGAGATGGGGAAGAAACAACACAGACTTTCTTAGGTGTGGATAAAGTCTCAACGAAGTTACATAGAGATGGGGAAGAAACAACACTGCCTGATGATCCCAGCAGGTGCCCGTCCCCCCCCCCCCACTCCTGCCACTCCTGTCCCTCTCTTCCCTTCAGGGACACAGGAGAGGAAACAGAATTCCAATTTGAGAGACTGGAGTCTGGATACTCCCTCAATAGAGGGTATTTAGCTGTATCTTTGCTTTATATTAACTCATTTCTTCGTCATTGAACATAAACCAATGGATGTTTGTTTAGATCACCCCAGAGCACACTTGAGTTTTATCTTCTTGTTTTTTAAGTATAATTACAGATTTCTCAGCTGTATCCTTTCCATATCAATTAAAAATGTATGTATTTTGGGCCTTCTTTGTGGGTCCAGGCTGGTTCCGTGTTCACTGCCCCTAGTATGTGCTCCTGAATGACATGGTGAGCAAACCCGGGGGCCTGGAGTGTCAGAAATGGAAAGACCTCCCCTCTTTTCACACATAAAGAAATAAGGCCCACGGAGGTGCTGAGAGCAGCCCCAGACCATGGGGGAAGTTAACACAAATGTCCTGCCCAGGGCACCATGCACTCACCAGGGGGAACCTAAGTTTAGGAGACACTGGGTTTAATAAATTTCTTTACTTCGGGACATCTCATAGCCTTTAATTAGGCCAGGCACACAGTGGTGCTCCCAGGGGCAGAGAGTTCGTATTCAGTGCTTCCTAGACTTGTTACCAAAGATCTGTCATTCACAAAGCATCACAAAACAGCCAGCGATCCCCAGACACCCCCAGACACACCAGCACCACTGCATTGCACCCAGCTAGAAAGACTGCCCTCCGGATCTGTGTAGCCAACAGCCTTGGGGCCACATGATCCAGCATTTTGTTGCACGTGCCTCTGCTTTGCTCTGGAGTCATTCCCAGGTGAACCCAGCTGAAGGTATGTATGGTGCCCTGTTCACCCGAGCACCCCCACAGCCTCCAGCACAGACCCAGAAACCGACAGAGCCTGTTGACTGACAGGTGCAAATGCCATAAAATGAGAATTATTTCAAACCGCTTGTCCAAACTTTAGCAAACGCCAAATGGCACTTCTCTGGGGAAAGCAGCTCAACACTGAGTGTTCTCTACTCTCCTTTTCACTACTTCCTCGAGGAGCTTCCAGATTCAAGCTAGGGGCCTGAGTGTCTATGCCAAAGAGGAGCTGTACCCTATTTGCTCATGTGCCTTGGATACCGAATAGCAACATCTATAATGATAAAATTCTCATCTAACCCTCACAGAACCCCTATGAGATAAGACTCTTCTCTCCACTTACTAACATGGAAACTGAGGCTCAGAGAGAAGAAGCCTCTGCAAGGGACAGAGCTGTGACTCACACCCAGTTCTGCTAGCTCCAAAGCCTGTCCCCTTACCCACTCTATTTGCTGGCAAAGCAGGGGAAATGTGGTGTGCAGTGACGCCCTAAGCCCGCCTGGAGGCGGGGGACCCCGACGTTCAGAGAGAGCCTGCTCCTGGAGACCGTCCTACCCCAGTTTTGAGCCCTGGAGCCTGTGAGGGGTCAACCTGCAGAACCCAAGAGCCAAAGGGCAGATGGGACTTGCCCAGTGGATTCCATCTGAGCTCTGAATCCCTTTTCCAGATCGGCAGGTTCTTGTCTTGCTCCTCTCCCCAATCCCGTCTCCTTGTCCTGCGCTGGAGGTCAGAGTAGGCTCGATGTTGCCAGCCTCTCTCGGTTGCCTGGACTTCTGACCCACTGTGTGTATGAGCCTGGCTACCCGTCTGACCCCCAGGGGCCAATCCTGCCTGGAGAGGACTATACTGGGGTGAGGTCTTAGATGGTGATAGGCAGCCTGACCTTACAGTTAGTTCTAGTTCTAGAACCATCTGAGGAATAAATAAGCCCTGTGAGTTCTTGAATCTGTTTGATGAAACTAGTATTAAATGCATAGTGTACTAATCATGTTAACACAAATCCCCAGCTTCACTTTTTAAATTTGTGCTAATATCGTCACCATTTGGACCTACTCCATGCCAAACCTATGCTATAAAATCTGAAAGCAACACTATGAGGCATGAATTTATCCCCACTTTACTTCACAGATGAGACCATGGAGGCTCAGAGGGCTTAGTACAGTGCCTTAGGTCACACTGCATGAAAACAGCAGAGCTGAAGTTCAAATCCAGCAGATCCAACCAACTCCACGGTCTACACTTCCAACCTATCAGTACAAAACTATGACAGCCCCATGCTGCTGTATATCTTGCCACCCCAGTGAAGATTTTATGTTATAAAAGTAGAATAATGTCAGCACCAGGAAAGCACATCATCAGGAGGGATGTGGAAAGATCCAGCTAGTCCTGAGCCTGATTCCCAGTGGCATTTCAAGTTAGCTGTGTGCACATAGGCAAATCCTCAGCCTCATTGCAGCCTAGCTTCCCAGTCTCTGAAGTAAGAATAATAATTCTTACAATAGGGTCATTGCGATGGTTGAGTAAGACGCTAAGTTGCTGGCACATAGTAGTTGCTCAATAAATATTATGCATTAAATAAGTATTTATTGAGCACCCACTATGTCAACGAGGGCCCCCGGAGAGTGACCTGGAGTTGTGTCCTGCCAACCAGAGACACCCCTTTCTTTTCCGCTTATGTTGGGTCCTTCCCCAGAACCTCCTTTCCAAAGAAAGATCAGAATAATCAGGACTCACGGGATAAGAGTCTTTTTCAGAATCTTGGTGTGATCATTGGGGTTGTAATACCCAGGTCCCGGGCCTGTTGATGTCAGTTTTAATCCACGTCCAGTTTTTGATTTAAAACAAGACATTAATACCTTTGGCGACTGCTTCACAAGGGATTCGTTGATATTATAATGCCCTAAGAAGAAAGACATTTTAAAACAGAATAAGGAACTCTTCTCAAGTTAATGAAAAGCAATGCCTCACACCTAAGAATACATTTAATACTATAAGGGGCTATCACTCCACGATGGTCTGATGGAAGGGCTGCCTGAAGTAACTGAAAATTACACTCACCCTTTACGAAACATGCTCACAGCAGCCCAGCTAGGTGGGTCATTGTCACCTCCATTCTAAAGAGGAGGAAAGGGAGACTTGGAGATATTGAATAGTTTTGCCAAAAAGATTTCATCTAATTTGGAACTAAGCCCGGCTTCCTCCTCCATAAGGTAAGAATAATTCTTCCAACGACAGGGTGGTTAGGATAGTTGAGTAATACTGAAGTTCCTGGCACATAGTAGGCATTTAGTAACTATTATGCAATCCACAACTATTTATTTAGCACCTACTATGTGGACCCAGGGCCACCTGTCTCCAAAGTCCATGCTTTCCCACCATGCCTTGTTTCAAGAAACCGTGAGAGAATAAAATGAATTTGGCTGCGCACAAAGCTTCACGAGGAAGAGAGGGTTCTGGGCTGGGGGAAGAGGAGGTAGGGTCAACCCTAAATTGTCGGGAGCCCCGTCGATGGGTGCAGGCGTTTTTGGAGTGCAAAGAGGCAGTACTGAGCAATAGTCTTGAGGATGTCTGATCCTGACTCAGCCTTCCCATTACTCAGAAATTAAGGAAATTATTCAACATCCGGGAAAGCTCTAAGCATAGAGACGCACACAACAGCAGTAGCCGCAGTGTGAGAAGCGGTACGTGGCCAGAAGGTCCGAGACCAGGGGCCCTGTGCTGGGACTAGCAGCCCGGTCTGATAAATATGGAGACCATAAAGCCGCATGGCCATGTTTCTGAAAATAAAGGTGAGTGAAAACAATGCCTACAAGTCCCTATATACTATGATGACATCTAGGGACAAATGGATCCGCCTGAATAAAAATAGGTGGGAGCCCAGAAAAGTGGTAGCATTGTGGGTCGGAAAAATATTTCAAGTTTTCTAAGCATTGTAAGATTGATTTCGTTTTAAATAAAATGTACTCTTCCATTGCAAATGTACTGAAAACAACAATATGGCGCATTAGCAAGTTAGCGTATTAGCGAGATTCTATTTAAATGATCATACCCAGTGGTGGCAAAGGTGAGGAGAAACAGGTGCCTCATTGAAGCAGGAGGAGAAATTACCTCTCTGCTGAAGAACAGTTTGGTCACACACACACACACAAAAAAACCCAAAACTTAAATATTTTACATACTTTTGACTTAGCAATTTCACTTTAAGCAATTAATATAAGGAAATAATCTTGATTGTACCCAAGCTGTGAGCTATAAGGATGTTTGCTGCCTAAAACAACCTACATTTCCAGTAAGAGGCCATTTGGTCCTTAACTTACAGTACCGCCATGCAATGGAATACCATATATCCGTTTCAAAAATGATATTCTTAGGAGGTTTCTTAATAACATGAAAAGATGTTCCCAATATATGCTTAAGTTTAAAAAAGGCAAATGTCCAGTATAGCAATATTTATAATATTGGTATACTCTCTCATATTTTGTTTCTTTTTCTCTCATGACTGTGTAAATATGTATATTTTATATATATATACAAAATATATATTTTTTCCCTTCCACAGAAAGGTTAAAGCAACCCCTTGATTATCAAATTCTGAAAAGCAGAAGCAAGGAGAGAAAGACACTCGTGTTCCTGAGGCCCAGAGAGAACCAAGGGTAAGCACTGGTGTTTATTTCCTTCTCGTCTTTTCCTGAGTGTGGTTGGAAGACTACACAGTGTTGATCTCACAGTGCAATTCCCATTCTGAAACCCATGTTTTTCTTTTTTTTTTTTTTAAGATTTTATTTATTTATTTAATTGATAAAGAGAGAGAGAGACACAGCGAGAGAGGGAACACAAGTAGGGGGAGTGGGAGAAGGAGAAGCAGGCCTCCCGCCAAACAGGGAGCCTGATTGTGGGGCTTGATCCCAGGACCCTGGGATCATGACCTGAGCTGAAGGCAGTCACTTAACCAACTGAGCCACCCAGGTGCCCCATGAAACCCACGTTTTTCAAGTGACTCTTTAACATCTGCGTTTCCCCCAATCTAATAGCTTTTTTTTTTTTTTTAAAGGAAAAATAGAGAGGAGGACATTCATGATGTGCTTAGCAAATGTAAACTTCATAAAATCCAACCAGCAAATGTGTGAAGGTGAGCATTTTGCTCAGAGTTGAAGATAGGCCAGTCCTGGCCCTCAGCCCCTGAGGAAGGGGCCCTCGGAGCAGCTGGGACAGGGACCCTGCAGGGGCACCAGTCACATCTGTTTTCCCCCAGCAGGAGGAGAAGGAGCCACCCGTTATTTCTGAGAGGTCCAAGCTGATTGTTTATCACACAGGGGCAGATTCCCCAGGCAAGTTTTGGGTGGGGAGGGTCTGAGGCACCAGGTATCAAGTGGGATGGGCCTGGACTCAAATCCACCGATGGGACCCTGGGCCAATTACCTGCTTTCTAAGTATCATTTTTGCCTGAAAAATGGGGATCAATAATAATAGTACCTCACGCTTTCTGAGCAAAATGATTGCGTGCTGGCCAAACCCTCCACAGGGTCTGGAGATCATTCGATGAGAAACGTAAAGCCTCTGGTGCACAGTAGGAGTTTAACACTTCCTGGTACCCACATACTCTCCCCCTCTGCTCCATTACAAGGGGCTAGGGGCCCCTGAGGACCCTCCCGGAAGGAGTGGGTGCATGTGGCCTGCTGAGAAGGTGCCCACATCTCGGGGTTCACTGGCAGGGCCTCTGGCCAAACTCCAGGGATGCGGGCTTTGTTCTGTATAAACAAACAAGGTGGGGCTTTGCCTATGATGATGTAAGCCAGGGGAGCTTTAGCCCGGACTTAGCCTCCTAATTAGGGCTGGTTTTGTTATTCAGTTTCGGACTGATCTTCTCAACTTTAATCTGGATTTGGTGAAATCAATTTTACCCACACCCCGCTGCAATTTTACCCACACCCCGCCTCCAAGAGGTGTGATTGCACAGAAACCCTCCCTGTTCCTCCCCTCAGCTCCGGGGCTCAGGGCTCCCTGGGGGGAGGACCCACTGGGAAGGTCTACTCTGACGAGGGCTCCCAGAGTGCCAGTGGTGGCGTCCCCTGACCTCTCTGGAAACCTTTCACTGAGGCTGGAAGTGGGGAGCAGGTCTGAGAGAACAGGACGGAGCAACACCTCTCCCAGCCCAGAGAGGAAAACACTTGCAGACCAGCTCTTGGGGCGGTCTCAGAAGTCACTGGGGGCTGATGGGGGCAATAGTCTCCTCGGTCAGACCCCTCTGGGCTTAGGCCTGCCATCCGTCCGCCCGCCGTGTGACGCGGAGCAGGTCACTTCCCCTCTCTGAGCCCCCTCTCCTCACCGGACACAGGACTGAGAGCACAGGCCAAGGAAGACAGATGTGTGAGGACTGCATGGAAAATACTTAGCACGGAGTAGGCTCTCAGTAAACGGAGCCATTTTCCAGTGTTTGGGGACTAGTTGATGAAGTCCCCTCCAGGCTCAGGAGGAAAGGAAGGGTCTGGACACTCAGCGTATTGAGTGCCCCCCACCCCGCCCCCGGGGGCCTGTGAGGACACCTGGGGCACGGGAAGGTGCACACTTCTGCGGTGAGAAGCCACTTCCCCATCTAGCAGCCCAGAGCAGATGTGCCCGGTCATGAAAAGGGAGGCCAACGAGGCTGCTTTGGGGCCATTTCCAGAACAGCCCTTCTTCCCCGGAGCTTTCTCCTTTTTGTTCAGCACCTGTTCAACATCCCCACCCCACCCCAAGCCGAACTCCTTCCAAAGAGACTCCCTACGAAGCAATGGTGCCCCACAGAGCAGATCTGGTAGGTTAACCCTTGGGTCAAGGCTGGTGCAAGGTGGCTGCTTACCTGGGGCAGGTCCTGTTTCAGCGATAGTGAAAAATCCTCTCTGGGTTTTGGACATAAACCCCGCTCGGGCACAGACGTTGTTTCTCTGCTTGCAGTAAGAGACAGAGGCCTGGGGGGAGAACACAAGCATGGTATTCCTCAGAAAATGAACAGAGTGGAAAAGGTCCCCCCAACTGTGCCTTTGCCATCACCCCAGCTGGAGTGGCCGAGGAGTTTGTGATCACCAGCAGATGTCTGGTCCCCCCCCCTCCCATGGCACAGAGGACAGAGCCCGGAAGAGAGCCCGAAGACCTGGCTGCCAGGCTGGTCTCGTGTCTGCCACACGAGCTGTAAAACGGATCAGGTGAGCCCTGCTCTAGTTGATGCAGTGAGGGTGACAACAGTCAAGAGACATCGCCTATAGGACAGTGTCTTTTTCAAGTCCGTAACACTGCAAATGCGCATTGTTTTCCTTATTTTTTCTATGACTTTTATTCCTTTCAGGACACTGAGTCCTACATATCCCCACCCTGATTCCTTACTGTTCAAACAGCCCTCCTATGAACGCAGGATTTGGGGCACACAAGGGCATCAGGTAAGTTAAGATCACGATCAGATCTGTAACACTACTCCCTTGTCTCGACTTTTCTGGACCAACCAGAAATTAAGAATTTTGACTGATCCACACAATATACAGCATGTTCAGCACTCTGAAAATAATAGGAGAGAGAAAAAAAAAAAAGAACCCTGAGATCATTCCTCTGCTATATGTGAATCATAAATATTTTAAATGCCAATTTGCCGTCAGGCCCCTGTATTCATTAGATAAAGATGCAATAAAAATCGTAAATGTAGTGACTGGGAATATTTACTGAATGAGTGAAACTATTTGCCAGGGCCAGGGTGGTTTGATTTTTCTGAGATACTCCTTTGTGAAAAAAAAAAAAAAAAGTTTCTCAAGAAATGCAGATGGCATTTTGATTTTGTGTTTACAAAGGTGGAGGAATTTAGCTTTTCCCAGGGTCCTAATGGCTAGAATGCATGCAGGGCGGGCAAACAAAAACATCAGATGGGGCAGGCTAATTACTGGACAGAGGGACAGGAACCAGGTTGCCGGAGAGGAAGTAATAACATGGTACGGAGAAAAAGGAATCGAATAGAGAGGTGGGGGAATCGAGGTAAGCAAAGGCAAAGAAAAGCCCTAACAGACCTCGCCTGTGGTGTGGCTAACAGGATTATCACATTTCTGCTTCTTGCCAGTTGACTCAACCATTGTTCTCCCGGTCTGAAAAAAGCCTCCTGTAGACAAAACACGATTTCAGCCTTATTCCTCATCCAGACAGAAAAACAACTGAAAGAGGGAGCATTTTTGTATACTCTGAGTGTGTGTCACTGGAAGATTTCACCATTAGACGAGGAAAACAGTCAGCTAGCTTCACTGGCAGGTTGGGAAAAAAAAAAAATGAAGCAGGTTTACTGTATCACCACGGGGAAAAAAAAATCCAAGATACAGCTGAGTAGAAAATGCACGTGTACCGTGGCCAGCATAATCCTAATACTGGAGGTAGGGATGGGGGAGGAAAAGACCATGAAAGAAATTGCACCTGTTTTTGATGGTGGTTTGCTTCAGAGGGCAGAATTGTAAGAGAATTCTGCTTTTCTAGTTCATGGATTTCTAAAATACTTGAATATATTTAATGAAGAGCATGAATTATTTTCACAGTCACATTAAAACTATAATCAACAAAAACCATGCACTTAAAATTGATCCGTTGGCAGAAGGTCTGAGCCCTGACTTGGGAAACGGTCTTTTCTAGATTAACAACTATATATGACGGGGCTAATTCCTTCAACGTCATGAGCATTTACTGCAAGTGTACCATATACCAGGACCTGCGCAGGGCGCTGGAGATGCGAAGCTGGGTGAAGGAGCACACAGTGGGTTGCGGAGGCAGATGCCTGAAACACTAACTCACTCTCTCAGGAATGGCAAAGATGCAATGGCCAAGAACATTATCGATTTCTTGGACCAGGCCTTGACCTCTCTCCGGTTAGCATAACAGGCTCCTAACTGGTTTTTCAAAGTCCACTCTTCACCCAAACGGTGGTCCATTCTCCATATGGCTGCTGGCGGGAGTTTTTTTAAAAAAGTACATCAGATGATGTCATCCCCCTCAAAGGCTTCCCGCAGAGAACCAAATTAAAGATCCCTCCCAGGGTCTTTAGGGGCCTGAATGAACTGGCCCCTGACTATCTGTCTGGCTTCCCCTTATTCCCTCTCCTCCTAGCTAATGCTACTCCAGCTAACTTCTTGTAGTTCCCCAAGGCTCAGCTGCTTGCTGTCCCAGGGCCTTTGCACATGCTGTTCCCTCAACTGGCTCTTCCTTCAATTCTTAGGTTCTCAGCCCTAGAGCCTTCTCTGACCACCCAGTCTAAAGTACATGATGCTACCAACCCCCCATATTCTCCACATATTCTGTCTCTCAGGGTCCAACTCTTTGTCTGCCTCAAAGCTGGCCACAGTCTGTAATTATTTTGTTTGCCTGTTTACTAGTTTGTCATGCATTCCCTGCTGAAATCTAAGCTGTATCACTGGTCTAGCACAGAGTAGCCACAGATTCCATGAAGGGAGACCCAGCAGGGCTGGGACAGGCTGACTGATCACTCTCCAGCTATATACCCCAGCCATCTACCTGCGCTCACTGATAATGCAAACGGTCCCTTTGAGCGGGCTAACTTTGGGCAAATCCCTTCCCCTCCCTGAGCATCAGCTTTCTCTTCTGTAAATTGAAAAAAGAGATAACCCACTTCATGGATTCTTGTGAATATTAAATGAGATGAATACATAATGCTTAGAACAGTACATAGGCCTGGAATAGTACTTCATCTTCATCATCATTATTATTTTCAGGCTCTGATTATCCCGGGGGAAGACTACCTAGAGTTGTCCTGTCTAATTTGGTAGCCCCCGGCTCTCGAGCCCTGGGGACATGGCTGATCCAAATTAAGATGTGCTGAAAGTATAAAATACACACTGGACTGTAGAGATAGATGGAAAGAATGTAAAACATTAGTTATTTTTATTTATAATTATGTGTATAATTATTATAAATAAAAAGTATAATTAACAATTTTTATATTGATTAGACACTGAAATTAGATCTTGAATATACTGGGTTAAATAAAGTATATTCTTAAAATTGATTTCGCCTGTTCCTTTTTACTTTCAAATGTGGCTACTGGGAAGATTTGAAGATTTTATTTATTTATTTTTGCGAAAGAGAGAGAGAGAATGAGCGTGAGCTGGGGGAAGGGCAGAGGGAGAAGCAGACTCCCTGCCGAGCAGGGAGCCTGATGCAGAACTCAGACCCAGGACCCTGGGATCATGACCCGAGCAGAAGGCAGATGCTTAACTGACGGAGCCACCCAGGCGCCCAATTTAAATGATATATGTTGCTCCCATTATATTTCTATTGGACAGTGCCAGCCTAGCAGGCACATACATCATTTTGAGCACATTATAATTGATTGGATCAATCACGGAAGATCAGCAGGGTTTTTGTAGTCAGAAAAATAAATATTATTTATAAGTATTATAAAAGAAAAAGGAAATTAAAAATGAAGTACTCTAAGACCAAAATATCTTGCAATATGTCATAATCCTATTAATACCTTACATACAATTCATTTCTTATGTATTTTAGAGTGTTTCCACATGTGCTGTCTCATTTGGCTCTTATAATAACCCTGTAGGGTGAGTATAATTGATTCCATTTTACAATTGAGGCTCAAGAGGTGACGTGACTTCCCCAAAGACAGCTCTGCAGATCTCCACGGATGGCGGAGTCCTTGTCCTCCAGGGGCTGGGCTAAGCACACAGCTCAGACGACCTAATTTAACATTTGCGTTAACACTATGACGTGGACACATTTCTCCATTTTGCAGATCAATAACCTGAGTCCTGAAAGCTGAAGGGACATGCCCAGAGCCACACAGTTAGAAAGTGGCAGAGTCGACATTTGAACCTGACTTCATCTCTTAACCATTAATCATACCGTTCTGCCTCCATGACTACAAAGTGATTGTAATTGGCGGAGCATTACTGTGAAAAACCCAGTTTCTGATACGGAAATGTGGAAGCGTATTTTCCCTATTAAAACCTAAGAAGTGGGGCGCCTGGGTGGCTCAGTTGGTTGAGCGACTGCCTTCGGCTCAGGTCATGATCCTGGAGTCCCGGGATCGAGTCCCGCATCGGGCTCCCTGCTCGGCAGGGAGCCTGCTTCTCCCTCTGACCCTCCCCCCTCTCATGTGCTCTCTGTCTCTCCCTCTCTCTCATTCTCTCTCTCAAATAGATAAATAAAATCTTTAAAAAAAAAAAAAACCTAAGAAGTAAATGGAAAGCGACTGCAGATAACGTGGGAAATAAGAATTGTTACAGATGAGAATACTGTCCCAGAAATGTTCTGTGGTAGGAGTGATTATAGTATTTTCCAGGGCGGGGTCTTCCCACTGCTTCCCACCGACCTCTGCGCTGCTCTCATTTTTGTCCAGGTTGTGCAAATTCTCCATAAAGCCTTGCACGCAGCCTCCTCTACCCGCTGGGCAGTCAACAAACGCTAACTGGTTTATCAGTTGCCTTAGAATGTTATTTCCCCAAAGCGTCCCCCGCCTTCATTCATTTTCGGAAAGCATTCATTCAGTATATATTTAACAAGCGCACGCAACGTTCTTACATTGTACTGGTTTGGTGCAGGGGGTTCAAATTTGAGGACTTTTGCAAAGCTCGGCAACTGGAACATGCTCGAACAGGAATTACTGAAGTCCTTCTTCGAGACGAAACGTGATGGGATAGTGTATGCGTTAGCCGCAGGGTATTTAGAAACGATGGTGTCCAGTCGGGCGCGCTGCAAGGAGAAAGTCAAAGGCATCAGCGCCCTCACGTCATCTCTTGGCTCCACAGGACAGATGTCAAAGGAATGGTGCCCAGCGCTAGGTCTGAAAGCATCGTATGAAAGCTGAAACTCCAGCAGGTAACAATGATAAACTGACCTTGGGCTTTGAGGATTTGCTCTTTGAGAACACAAGTTCTGACCTGTTTAACTTCTATAAACTAACTCAAATTATTCATCTTACATTTGGGACTTGGCAAAAATAATTTTGCCATAAATGCATTGCCACCCAATCCCGTTTCAGGCCACTTACCCTTGACTCATCAGCTGTTGGGTAATTTATATGATGGGAAGCTTTAGACTTTCTTCCTCCAGCCAAGGCTTTCCTTCTGAGTAAAACTTCACATCTTGTTTCTAAGATTAAGTAATCTGAATTGCTTAAATAATAAGTTTGCTTCTAATGTCTTAAAGGCACAAGGGTCGACGGGGCTTGCTGTCCACCCATGCTTCCTACCTTCCACCTAATTGCTGATTTCTTTTTTTTTTTTAGATTATTTATTTGAGAGAGAGAGGAAGAGAGAGAGCATGAGCAGGGGGAGGGGGAGAGGGAGAGGGAGAAGCAGGTTCCCTGCTGAGCAGGGAGCCTGACATGGGCTCAATCCCAGGACCCCAAGATCATGACCTGAGCCGAAGGCAGATACTTAACCAACTTAGCCACCCAGGTGCCCCCTAACTGCTGATTGCATAGAACCCTACAATTTTTTTTTTCTCTTTCAGTAGGACCAATCCTACTCCTTCCTGGAAGCCGTAATAAACTATTTTCAGTTAAAAAAAAAAAAAAAACAACAAACAAGCAGAATCAATGTTTGCCAAATGAAAAGGGGCAAAAGCCATAGAAACTAGGTGATAACATCACTTTACCCTAGGATAGTATGGCAAGTATTGGAGTCTGATAAAACAAACAAACAAAAATTCTCATTATTTTATGATTAAAAGCTTGAGAACATTGCCCTGGGTTTCCTCAGCTGGATAGGGGTCAATAACTACACAAGCACAGAAAGCAGGTGAGACTGTGGGAAGGCATTAACCCTCACCCCCACCAACTCCTCACCCTGTGCTTGGTGGTAATGGTTCTCAACATCTAGTCTATGGACCACTGATGGTATATGGGTGGATGTGCTCCCAGCGGCAAACATGTTCTTGTCCAGAGTCTCAGCTGTTCAGAGTCTAACCTGGGTTCAAGTCCCATGTCAGCCTTCTCCTAATTATCAGGATTCATTGATGTTCCCAGAAGTAAGATCACCCCAGCCCTCTACGCTCTTTGCCTTTGCATTATGGGGAATAGTTAACCGAGTGCTTTTCATGGGCTGCTGTGTTTAATCCTCTTGAAAAACCTGGGGAGTGGATATTATGATTATCCCCACTTTACAGATGAAGACACTGGACTTCGTCTGCTAGCTGAGGGGTGGAACCAACATTATTTCCAGTCAGCCCCCACTATGTGATAGAGATTAGATATCCCATTCTAAAGAGGAAAAGTCAAAAGGAGGAAAGTAATACATGTTTTCATTTACAAGAGGAGCCCTGATGAATGACTGTGGGATGTTCTAGTTCAAGGAGAATCACGACCCTCTCTCTCCGTTGCCCAATGGGATCTTTCCTTTTCACTTCCATAGAAGAAGGGTCACCACCCCCGGTGGTCCCATTTGTGGCATGTCTATCCTGACTCACCCAACAGATGAGGCAAGCACGTTTTTCTAAAGCACTATTTCCCGAAGTGTTCCCTGGCATACCAGTTCTATAAGATAAGTTAGTGTTGGTGGTAAGAGCAGAGAGAGAGTTCCAGAGCCAAATAAACTTGAGAAGCCTCATAGTGTGTTCCCATGTTGAAGACTCATAATATACACCATCATATTAAGTACCCTGAGAAGTCCTACCATAAACAAACCCAACTTGACTTACCCAGCCTTCCTGAAACTTAACTAGATCATAAAATCTTTTTGGCCTAGAATACCTATGAACATACTTTTGGGGGAAAAAATCGTTCTAATTGTTCATTTGAAGCCAAGTTTCATAAAGCATTGTGATAGAATTTGTCTCAATATAGCTGAAGTAACACTGACTCAGACAACCCTCCCCACCCCTTGACTTTCTTTTAATTGCCGGGCCTGTGGGCTCCAATCTGGCTGCATGCTGGCATTTGTGAACCTCTCTGCAGCACCTACTAATTTTTCCAGAACCACTCCGGTCACCATGCAAATAGAGAAAGGCCATGAAAGTCTCCTCCCACCTGCCTAATTTAACCTTCTGTCAGCCTCATGAATAATCCTGGAGCAAAGATTTAGAATATATTAATGAAGTTCTTTAAATTATTTGGACTTAGCGAGGTGACAGGTCCTCTCCAAAGGTTGGATGTAGGGGTTCCAACAGTCATCAGGAAGTTTCTAGAATTTATTGATCCACAGAGTTTTTTGTTCACCCTCACCTACAATCACACTCCTCCTGGCTACACCAGTGTCAATCGGGCAGATCTTTCTCTGACGAGGTCTACTTTTCATACCCTCAGAGTCCGCAGATCCAGAAATGGAAGAGGTGCCAAATGTGAAAGTCACTAAGGGGGGGGGGGAAGGCATGAAATTCACATCGGTGCAGAAAGGAAGTAGGTAAGATGTGGGGTCTCTTAACAGATTTCCATCAGCCACTGCAGGATGGTTATAGGAACTTAAATGTCTATAAATATAAATTCCCATCCATCAAAGCAGGGAGGGAAAGCCTGCACAACTCCATGTCTGTTTTCTTTTGGGTTTGGTCTGAATTTTTTAAGGACCTGACAGGCCTGATTAGATTCTGTAATACTCGGACCTTCCCCTGAGCCTCTTCTCCAGATGGCCCAGCCTCATCGTTTGGAAAGTTACTGCACACAAAGCCTAGTAGGGAATTGATCGTGCGCTCTCATTCTGTCCCTTCTTTGGGACCAAGCAGGAATGGGCAGTGCCCCTCTACGGCCAAGAATTTCTCAGAGAGAAAACCTAGGAGGTGCGGGAGAGCTTGTTTGTGACTCAGGTGGTAACACTCATAATATTTAACGTGTTTACAATACTCTGCAGTTTCAAAGAGCATTTCACTCATTGTGATTTGCCCAGTGCCTCCAGGGAGTCTCCACTTTTATGAGGTAACTGGGACACAGAAGGGTGACGTGCTTGAGGCCACATCGAGAATCCTCTGCTGAGTCAGGCTTAGGTCTTAAGTCTTGTCTCCTGTGCCAAGACTTCGTGAGATGGCACTTCTATTGCTGATTGCTTTCAGGTCCCTTTATTTGCAGGGCTTGGGGCAGAAAACGAGGCAGAGGCATGGTTGTTCTGTGAGCTCACTGGGGGCATGGGTGACTTCCATGTCTCCGCCGATGGGGAGCTAGCTCCAAAGTCAGCTCTGCCAAAGTCAAATTCCAGTAAGTGGCTGCATTCAGCGTGTCTTAAATGGATTCTTTGTGTGGTGTTTTGTTTTGTTTTGAAATCAGTTCCAGTGTCAGGCATTATAATACAATTTTGCAAGAGATTATTATACTTTTTAAAGGGACAGAGGGCATATGAGTTTTGTTGGTGCTAGTTTGGGTTTGCTTTCTTTTTCACTTTCCTACCTCAGCTAATCTTAATCCCAGTTTGACCCTTTTCCCTTGCTATATCTCTTCTTCTTGCCAATTTATAGATACTCAAATTAAGAACAAAAGAAAAAATCCTTGCCCAAGTCTAGTCAGGGACATTGGCACTTCATATAGCTCCCTGATTCTTAGAGCCATCCACAAAGATAAAGACCCACATCTTACAAAGAAGGGAAGTAGGGAGGGGAGGAAGATAACTCCATTTCAGCCTGTTGTCTGCTTTATTTTTGCTCCTAGAAGATTTCTCAATAATTTGAATAACCCAATTAGACCAAGTGGTGTAATACATCCTATTAGGCTAAGAGCTTTTCCCTGGTGCCTAAAAATCTCAGGAAAACATCTGCCTAGGCCACTCCATGATGACAAAATTGATGTGGATGATCAGGCTCTAAATATCCCTCCAGCCTCTCTTCTCCAATGTGTAGCAGTGGGGGGATAATTACTTAAAGACACAGGCTCTAATTTACCTGCATGACACCTGAGGCAGCAGTTACTCTCCTAATTAGAACCACGGCCTTTGGAGAGAAGGGACCAGCTGTCCAATACATGTTTATGCAACGGACGGAGGAAATGACTGATCCGCTAGTGGCCTTACTCAAGGAAGGGTTTCTCACCATAGAGGGAAAAGTGCACGTTCCTTTCTTAGACAACGAGGCACTGTTGAACACTGGAGATTGGTGAATGACGTTGTAGAACCCCGGACCTGGGATGGTATCCTGAAAGGAAGAGAATGGGGTGTCATCGGAGTACATTCATTTCCACCGTGCTTTCCCGCAAACTTTATATCCATTAATGCTCAGCCTCACTGTAATCCTCAAGGCTAGGCATCACCACCACTTCATGGGTGATAGATAGTCTGGCTCCACCATTGCCTAGCCTGCCCGCTCACTGTCTCGGTTACCAAGTGCTGGGGGTTGGAATTCCAGCCTGGGTCTGGGACCCCCAAAGCCCTGGCTCACTCCACCACGTCGTCCTGCATTCCAGAAGAATGCTGTTGTTTTTTTCATGCCATTAGAGAAATGAGCACAAGATGGGATGCTCAGTGTGGCTGATACGCAAGTCAGTGTGTGCTGATTGGGGAAGCCAAGCCCAAGGTAAGGGAACGATGACCGATTTCACGTTAACCACACCCACCTGACTCAGCTTCCTCATCAACCTTTCAGAAGAGAAATGAGGGAGTGTTTCTGTTTATAAAGCAAAATGAAACAAAAACAACCTTCATGCCAAACAAGACCATGTCTAATTCTTCTCAAACAAAAAGAGGCAGGCTCGTGAGGCTCAGATGCTAAATGATGCAGGTATGATAGGAATAAACAGCAGCTTGATTTCGAAGCTCATTTCTGCTTTTGCAGTTAATTGAGCTTTCATCTCATTTCCCATGCTAGTTACCAAGGGGAGGTATATGTTGACAGAAGTTGGCCAAGCAAGTGGCATGAAATGACAGGGATGCTCCACTCTTGAGAGCTTACTGGGTGCCAACTTGATGCCATGAGCTTTTCAAAGGTTTCTTCACTTAGTCCTCCGACGAGGAAGGGGTTACTGTCCCCATTTTACAGAGGGAGACACTGAGACCAGTGGAGATGAATTTTCCCAATATCCCACTGCCACAAGTACCTGAATTCAGTGCTAAGGACATTATGAACACAAACTCTCTGCAGTGGGGGTGTTATCAAGTCTCTCCAACCTCTGCCCCCGAGGCTCATCCTGCCTCCACCATCCCTACTACCTTCCTCAGGGCAGAAAGAAGGCCTAAGGTGCCACCAGGGCCTTCCAGGACTTTCCAGTCTGGCCTGAGCAGTGTCTGATTATGGTTTAATATAGGGGATAGAGCCATCAGTGAGATTAACAGGTTCCTCTGTGCTGAATTTTAAATGCAGTGGATCCTTTGAGCATTGCTCAAAGCAGGTGGGTGCAGGGCACTAATTCCCACTTTGTAGGTGATGATGATCTCAGGTGCACAGAGTGGGGGCTCATCACCAGGGAGAATGGGGCAGACCATGAGATGGGCGGCAGAACCAGGTGCACCAGCGCCCTAGGCCAAGTTCAGAAGACATCGGCACGTGGGAGCAGATTCAAGGAGCTACAGGGAAACCCAGAAGAGATTTTTCTAGGGGGCTGTTCGTGGGGCTAGCATTTATTTATTGAGTGGCCGCTCACTGTGTGCCAGGCACTGTTCTGAGTATTTTACATGCAGCAACTCATTTAATCCCCATTTTAATTAATTAATTAATTAATTTTAAAGGACGTTATTTGACAGAAAGAGAGCACAAGCAGGGGGAGCGAGTGGGAGAGGGAGAAGCAGACCTCCTGCTGAGTGCGGAGCTGGATGTGGGGCTCCATCCCAGGACCCAGTGATCATGACCTGAGCCAAAGGCAGACGCCTAACCCACTGAGCCACCCAGGCGTCCCTTAATCCCTTATTATTAAAATAAATAATAATTTTATTTTATTTATTTATTTTTAAAGGTTTTATTTATTTATTTGAGAGAGAGAGAGCACAAGCTGGGGGAGGAGCAGAGGGAGGAGACTCTCCACTGAGCAAGGAGCCCAATGTGGGGCTCAATCCCAGGACCCTGAGACCATGACCTGAGCCGAAGGCAGGCACTTAACCGACTGAGCCACCCAGGCGCCCTTTAATCCCCATTTTAAAGACGGGAAGACAGGGCCCAAAGAGATAAAGCCCAAGGTCCCATGGCTAGTAACTGTCAGGGCCAGAATTTGAACCCAGGTGGTCTTAGTACAAAGCCTACTCTTTTTTTTTTAAATTGAGATATAATTGACACATAACATTATATTAGTTTTGTGTGTACTGCATGATTCGATATTTGTACACACTGTCACCATACACAGTTGTAGCATTTTTGCCTTCTGATGAGAACTTTTAAGATCTACTCTCTTAGCAACTCCCAAAATGCAATCCAGTGTCACTAACTGTGGTCGCCATGCTGTATGTCACATCCCCCTGACTTATTTGATAACTAGAAGTTTCTGCCTTCTGATTCCCTTCACCCATTTTTCCCACCCCCACCAAACATACAGAGTCTACTCTTACCCATTAAACCAAACTGATTTTCAAATGAGAATGTGTAGGATAAAAGAAAAAAAAAATCCCACAGAGTTTTGAATCAGGAAATTTTCGTCTCAATGCTGCGACTAGCTAAGTGACCTGGAGCAAGTCACATCGCTGGGCCTCAGTTTCCTCATTCGTAAATGAGAGACATCGGACTCAATGCCTTTGGGTGCCTCTTAGCTTCGCAAGAGCCCCTAAATCAAGGAAGAGCTGAAGCAGGACACGTCACCATGACTCTCCCAGGTTTAAACAGTGAACAAGGAAGACACGCACCTCTGGCTTCTAGTCCTCCCCCGCACACACTCAACACGGCCATCAGCTCACACACATTTTCCAGACACCTGCATGTGTCTGAGGAGCTAGAGTTGCCCGATAAAATACAAGGCGTGCAAGGCTGCTCCCTCCCACCCTGCCCAGGTAAATTTGAAAAGCTATTTTAGTGTAAGTATGTCCCATGCAATATTTGGGACATACTTATACTAAAAGAGTTGTTTGTCATTTATCTGAAATTCTAAATTAACTAGAAGTCCTGTGTTCTTATTTGCTAAATCCAGCAACCCCACTGGACCTTGATCACGTTTTAATTCCGCTGTGTTGCAAACTGGTTTGAGTCCAGGCCGAATACGAAGAGGGCTGGCACCTCTTAGCCTGGAGGGAGAGAGGGCTGCCTGTTGAGAAGAGATGTCCAGGCAGCAGTATGTCAGAGCTGGCCCATGGATGGCAGCTTGAGAGGGTGACTGTTAGAATGTCAGAGATTTTGCTGGTGGTAGCTTGAAAGCAAGGTGGGAGTATTTACACCCCAGAAATTGGCAAACGCTATAAATCAGAACTTTCCTTTGTGGAGGGGAGAGCTGGTTTACCAGCACACCACTACCTTCACACAACACGCAGGTAGGTTTCTAAGCTCCTCGGAGGGAAACCTCCAACTGCAGAGCCTTCAGGCCTTCTCCTGCGACTGCTGGACGGGCTGGTGAATGGCTGGCTGGGAGGGCAATAAAAATCCAGACCTTTCACCTCTGGGATAACAGTTCTGATGACTAACCTTTTGTGACTTGGTGAGTTTAGGCCTCTCAGTGCAGATCCCAGGAAGAAGAACCCAGGTAATTGCAACTGGGGTGCACTTAGCCACCCTTGGTTTCTTGGCCAAGACCACCCCAGAGGGCAAAAACCAAATAAACCAACAAAGCAAAAATGGGTGTGGGGAGGGAGAAGAGAAAAGAACGATTTAACTGAGCTCTACAGCCCGCCTGCCCAGTGCCCAGAGGATGATGTGGATGCCATACTGTTGTCTCCCGGGCCTTCCCCACTGTGTGAGGATTAAATGAATCGAAACACAGTGCCAGTGTGTGGCTGCTACTCTTGGCATTGCCCGCAACGGAGCCAAACCTTCCCATGGGGGTTAAAGACCTTGAGACTGGGACTGACCAAGGGAGGACTGGCTGATGTGCTCCCACCCCTCAACCCAATATGCATCTGGGTGACATTTGGTTGAAATGCACTTTGAGAGCCCTTTTGAAGGATTAGAATCCCAAATGGCAGCCCCTGCAGGTGCCAAGGGTGGGACAAAGGTCTATGTTCACTTGATCCTGGTATAGGTTAGACAGGTAATGAGGAGGAGGCAACAGGGAGCAGGGCATGTATCTCCTCCCGCCAGATATGTCCATAGGTTATAGGAAGCTTGGAGTCCACCGGCTTGGAGCCAGGTACATAGCCTGACTTTTCTAGTCCTGATTTCAGAAATTCTGTCCAATTAATACTCTCAAATCAATGGTTTGTCAAACTGTTTCTTGGCTTGGGAAATGTAGTCTCTTTTGGATCGTTGGCTAAAGACCCCACTAGAGCTGCCTTTTGACTCTTCAAAGATATTCCACCTTGCTTTGGTTTCTTTTGGGGGCTGGTGAGCTGGCATTTCTCAGGAGTGCACAAGATGAATGACAACTGGGGGTCTGCTGAAGGGCTTAGAAGTATCTAACGGAAGGCGGACATGTCTGAGATGGAAGCAGAGGCTTGTGCTGTGGTTAATCCACTGGTAAAACCACATAGGGACTTAGGGCTCTTGAGGGAACAATTTCTTCTTACAAATGCCTCTAGTCTTAAGGTCTCAGGACAATGTGTCCATCGACCCTGTTGACCTCATTGAAGTCAGAAAGCTTTTACTCAGGTTGACGTGGCCAAAGTGATGAGGACTACACGGTGGGAGACCTGGCATCTGCCCCCAGGGCACGTCCCCTCCCCAGACCTCAGGCCCCTCATCTGTGAACCTGCAGGGAGGCGCGTGGGGGTGTCAAGGTCTGTGGTGTTCAGACCACATTCCTGTTGTCCACCAGGGAGCCCGGGAAAGGGGGCTGGAGTTGGCAGCAGCTTCGAGCAGTCTTTACCTGGCCCACCAGTGGCCTTCAGCATGAGACACTGTCACAGAAAGGGCCCTTCTGCGGAGCCCGGGGATTCCAGGTCGCTGAGGCCCTTCTGGTTCAAACTGTCTCTGACTCTGAGATGTGCCCCTTATAAGACGCCCTTCCCCCTTCTTGCCTTCTCTCCCTCCCTGCGTCACCCCACATCTATTTCTGTCTGGCATCAAAGTTTCCGCACCTCTGGTCACGGCTGAAAAGGGAGAGAGGCAGCGAGCATACTCCACATGAGAAAACACCACTGTTTTGTTCAGGATGGGGGAGGATGTCAGCAATGAAAGGTCCCTGGGAGCCCGAAGGGAGCAAGCAGGAAAACGGGATGAGGTCTCTTGAAGAGATTGTTTCTTCGTTGCTCAGATAAGTTTGGGGGAGCCAGGGCAGCGGGACACTGGCCACCTGACAGATGAAAACGGGCACCAGCTGTTTGCCCACAGCTGGCCCAGAGGGCTGGGCTGGAAACACAGACAAGAGAAGTCAAACCCGCATTTTTGAAGCATTGGTTACGGTGGGTATTGTCCCCGAGAGCACACCTGCTTCTCTTTTTCAGAGCCCTCCTCTTGCTCAAATCTGATGTCAGCTTATTAGCAGCCCCTTGAAGTCCCCTGAGTGGCATATCAGCAAGAACTCAACTCAACAAACATACACGGAAGGCCACGGCGGACCAGAGCCCAGGCTAAGGTGCAAGGGTGAAGCACGACCTGTTAGCAGCTCACATGTTCCAGGAATGGGATGGAGGGTCCCGACCGTGCACACCCACTACCATCAGGCCAAGCAGAAGGTGGCCGGGGGCACGAGAGTGGCTGTCAGAGCACAGAGGAGGGTGTCCCTGCTTCCGTCCCCAGGAGACGCGGGGAACAGTGTCTGGAACCAGGAGCTGCCGCCTGCGTCCGGCAGGCTCTGCCTGACCCTGGCTGTGCAAGTCCCTCAACCCTCTTTGCGTCTCTGGCTCATTATGTGAAAAGCAGGGACGATGATGAGACTCCGCTCACAGGGTTATTATGGGGATTATATGAGTTAATAAATGCAAAAGTCTTCGAGGGGTGCCTGGCACGCTGTCAGCGCCAGCCAAGTGTTTATTTCCAGGAACAGGGACTGCAGACTCCTTAGGAAGGCGTGCTGGTGACCCACAGGGTGAAGTCAGGCTTGCGGAGCAGAGAGGTCAGGCACAGCCCATTGTGGTTCAAACACGCAGCTGAGTGCACACTTGGGCTAATTATCCCCTTGAACATGGTGGCCCCTGCAAACTGAACTTCCTTTCACTTAAATCTCCTTGACGTGTAAAATATCCCTGGTTCAGTGCCTTGTCAAGTTAGTGAGTGAAACAGTATTAATTTTATTTCATCACAAATTAAACATGGGCCTGCTTACCATTTGTTGGTGGATTTACTCTCAAGCTACATATAAAATTAACACGTATTTTTAAGCTGTACCCACCCAGAGAATGCAGTGCCCTATGCCACCAGCATTCATTCATTTGAGCCTGGAAGGGATAAGTCAGGTTTAGAGTCGTGGAACGGTAATCCCCGGCAAGGGCCTGTTATAACATCCTTGCTCTTAACATGATGCGAAGACGTTATTAGTGTTACATGGCTTGGAAAGCAGTGACCACCATCCAGAGAGGAATTGAAACAGGGCGGTGGAGGAAGAAAATGTCCATCAGGCTCCTGGGCTCTGTTCTGTCCCAGATGAGGCATGTCTCTTCATGCACACGGAGTCACCAGCACATCTGTAAATAATCATAAATCGTGCAGGGAAGCAGACTTCATTTCTAGCAGCGCAAAGTGCCAGTCAAGATGCCGAGCTCTGTGAAGGATTCTTTGTACCCAGGACTCAGGGTTGTATGGGGCACGTGAGCCGGGCAGTGTTTCCCAACAGGTTAGACCAATAAGGTAAATGCACATTTTCCAAGACACCAATTCTCTGTGTTAAAGATGTTAAATGGGTCACAGAACTAATATGAGGATACAACCAAATTATGAGCTCAAGCACAGGGTATGGACGATTAATATTCTAAGAAGGGTGGTGAAACACCAGAGTTTTAAAATCTGTTTTTAATTTGTATTGCCTCCCTCACTAAATTATTGGGTGATGTTAAACAACATCTTTAACTTCTCAATGTCCACTTCCCTCAAGAAAAATGAGAATAATGAGCATGGGACGAGAACATTTTTTTTCTCCTTTTATAGCTTCAAGAACCTAAAAAAATTATATAGCCCAAATCTTCCTTATGTTTCAGATGAGGAAACTGAAGCTCAGAAAAGCCAAGTGATGGGGCGCCTGCGTGGCTCAGTCGTTAAGTGTCAGCCTTCGGCTCAGGTCATGCTCCCAGGGTCCTGGGATCGAGCCCCACATCGGGCTCCCTGCTCGGCGGAAAGCCTGCTTCTCCCTCTCCCAATCCCCCTGCTTGTGTTCCCTCTCTCGCTCTGTCTCTCTCTGCCAAATAAATAAATAAAATCTTAAAAAAAAAAAAAGAAAAGCCAAGTGACCCGTCTAAAGGCACAGAGCTCTTTAAGGGGGCAGAACGCAGGGAACCTGATTTACGGATCCCATGCTCTTGCCACAAAATTATTTACATACTTATTTACAGAAGGCTTTCAAGTACTTACAGTTTCCACATTGTCAAACCAACATGGCTCCATTTGGAAAGTGCGAATCGAATTTCTGAACGATTTTTTTTTTTTTTAAAGATTTTATTTATTTATTTGACAGAGAGAGACAGTGAGAGAGGGAACACAAGCTGGCAGAGTGGGAGAGGGAGAAGCAGGCTCCCTTTTGAACAGAGAGCCTGATGCGGGGCTCGATCCCAGGACCCTGGGATCATGACCTGAGCCGAAGGCAGATGCTTAACGACTGAGCCACCCAGGCGCCCCTGAACGATTTTTTTTCTATATTTGATGCTGCCTGTAGCTCTGGCGGGCTGCCACCTTGGTTCCTTCAGCAGAAACTTTTCTGAAGAGCAGTAGTAGCTGGAAAGCTACCTCGAAACACGGGCCCATTCTGTTTCTGGATTTGAGTCTTCAGAACTAGATCATGTAGGATGGTGCCTACGCTCATTGCTTGACATCTTTCCCTCTCTTGAGCTTGAGCTGTTTTGCTAAGGTCTATTCAGAAACATACGTGCTGACTTTCATAAATGAAATGTGTGGCTTCACAGGCTACAAAAAGGGGTGTGGTAGTGTGTGGAAAGAACATGAGGCTTTGGAGTGAGCTAGACCTGGGTTTGAGGTCTAATTCTTTGCATGTTGATTCAGCAAATATTTATGTAGGGCCTCTTATGTACCAAGCCCTGTGCTGCATGACCTTGGGTGGGTCATTTAACTTTCCTAAGCCTCAATTTCCTCTCCTATTAAGTTAAGATAATAAACCCTTCCTTTCAGCATTGTTCTGAGGATTAGAGATATGGTCTAAAAATGACTGCACACATAGAAGGCATCAGTAAATGGTGGCTGCTATTATTTTTTTGGAATTGCCAGTGTTCCAGAGATGGAAAATATATTATCACTGGCTTGACAAATGAGACACCAAACAGAAGAGACAGACAGACAGAGGGACAGTTAAAACACACAGAAACTAGAGGGAGAAGAGAGAAAACTCCTGAGCAAATACCTTATTTATCATTTTTGGGAAAAACTGTCAAGTAATTAAAAGTGTGTGTGTGCGTGTGTGTGCACATGGGCATATACACATACTATATTCTTTATTATTTGCTTTCTTAGAAGCCTAAAATGTTAGAAGTAAAAGGAACTTAAACATTCTCTCGTTCAGCATTCTTGTTTACAAAGCAGGAACAGGCCTAGGGGCAAAGGGGCTTGCTGAGCAAGTCCTTCCTGACTCACTTGCCTTCAAAATCTACATCTCCTCCTTCCCGCTCCGCCATCTTGGCAAGGTTATGAGATCAAAAACATTTTCAGAATGCAGCAAAAGGTAGCTGAAGATGATGACTCCTTCAAAAAAATGTTATTCTAAAGATCTTGGTTAAATGAATGAAGGAATGAAGAATTTTAAAGATTCTATGGACGTCTGTGAGGTGCTTCAGCCCCCTGCTGGTGAAAGAGGAGAAGGTTAGACCCTTGGGCCTTTAGCCAATGAAATCCCAAGCTGCCTGAGTACCAGGAGCCAAGCAGAATTTTCCAGATCAAAGAGGAAAAGGGACATAGAAATATGTGGGGAAGAGGGTGAGGATGGAGGAAAAACAGGAACAGTAATAATACACTGTTAAAGGAAGTTTTTAAAAAGAGGGGGGCCTTCATCACAAAGGTAATTTTAAATTTATTTGACTCTTTTATTTTTACTAGTATGTTATTTGAAGAAAAACCTCGTTATTTCCTCTCCTGTCAGAAGGAGTGAAGCTGAGGGAGAGGGAGAGAAAAGAATTTTTACCTTTTACTTCATACACCTGCAATTTTTGAATTTTATATTTTTATAAGAAATTTCAAAATACATTTCTTCTTAAAACTTTTTTGGGGGTTCAATGTGGCACCGGAAGTCCAGACACTGTTGTTCTCCCTGAATCTAATACCTCCCCAACTCATTCTTATAACTCAAAGCACAGGATTCGCGAGGAGGCTGTGGCTCCTTGGGTGACACTGCCCTCTACTGGTCATAGGGGCAACTGCACCAGCCCAACTGGTGCGCCTGTCCCCGGAGCCTCAAACCCAGACTAAGAGTCTCTAAGATGATGTCATTACCTTTTTATAATAAAATCTCTTCGCTTGACTATTGAATCCCTTTTTCTCTGATTCCGGAATTGTTGCAGTCTGGCTTTTAAAAGGGATGGAGGATTGTGTTGGATATGCAGCAGTAAAACCTACACAACAAAAACAAAATAAAAATTAGCCCAGAGAACTGACAAATGTAGCAAACAAAGAGCACTTTAAAGTTTCATTTTGTTATTTTTTCAAGACTTTATTTTTAACTAATCGCCACACACAACCCGGGGCTTGAACTCACAACCCCAAGATCAAGAGTCTCATGCTCCACCAACTGAGCCAGCCAGGCACCCCTTAAAGTTTGTTTTTTTTTTTAAGATTTTATTTATTTATTTGACAGAGAGTTAGAGCCAGAGAGCACAAGTGGAGGGAAGCCACCTGCAGAAAAGCAACCCTCTTGAGGAAGACAACCAGAAAAATAAGATTTTTAAAAAACCACTCTGGATAATTGAACTTTCATTTCCAACCAAAATGGGACTGGATTTGCCCTCCTAGCTGTGGAAATAGAAGTTAAACATGGACAAAATATATGAAACAATGGTTTTCCGGGCACTGGACATCAAGCAACAAAGGATGGGGATCCATGAGAAATGGGAAGCAAATGGGTCAGCAGTAAGATGGCCCCCAGCTTACGGCCTGGAGAAGTTTCCAGGCCACAGCCCAGGAAGGAGGAATCCAGGCAGTCCGCTTGAGTTGAGGAAATGAATCGGGAAGCCCAGAAAGACCAGCGTTCTCGAGTTCACAAAGCCGAGAACCAGAGAAGAGAGCAACACAGAGAAAGAGTTCTGGAGACCTGCCCGGGGTTCCCCTCAGGTAGTTTCCTAAGTATTGATCCGGATATGCACATGACAACACTACCCAAGGTTGGGGAAAAAATCAACCGAAAGAATTAAGTGAACAATAACACCTGAACACAGGTACAGGAATAGCCCCTATTCCCACGAATCAGAATGGAAAGCTTTATAATTCCTAGAACATAGAGTATGCAGACAGTTTTACCTCACAAATAGAGCAAAATTACCCCTAGACTAAATGCTGCTGCCGGGTTCCAGCTAATAACACTTAACAGCCAGACTTGAAAAAATGCACCTGTTTCCAAGTAACTTAACTGCAGAAAAAAAAGCACAAGAATTTGCAGGACTACAAAAGGATCCAGCACCCAACAAATAAAAGGAAAAATATATGGTGTTCAAGTAAGAATTGATAGGCACGCAAAGACGAAAAAATGCAATTCATAATGAGAAGATAAACAATCAATCAAAACCAAAATTTAATTTATAAAAACAGGCAGCGGGTGAGATTCGGCCAAAGGCCAAAGTTTGCCAACTCTTTGCTCTAAAGCAGCCACTAAGAAAACACCGGAAAAAGTTACTCTTTTTTTTTTTTAAAGATTTTATTTTTTTAGAGTAATCTCTACACCCAACATGGGGCTCAAACTCACAACCCCGAGATTAAGAGTTGCAGGCTCCACCGACTAAGCAAGCCAGGCGCCAACAAAGGGGATAAAATAGAAATAAAAACAAACAATAGAAAATAGAAACCAAAAAAAAAAACTCAATGCAAAAGATGACAGAAAAAGTAAAAATGGAACAGATGGGACAAATAGCAAACAAACCGCAAGATGGTAAACTTAAACCTACACACCAATATTCACATTAAATTAAAAAAAAAAATCCCAATCAAAAGACAGATGGTCAAAAGGGATAAGAAAGAAAGACCTAACTATATGCTGCCTACAAGAAATATACTTTAGGGGCGCCTGGGTGGCTCAGCTGGTTAAGGGTCTGACTCTTGATTTTGGCTCAGGTCATGATCTCAGGGTCCTAGGGTCAAGCCCAGCATCAGGCTCTGCACTCAGTGCAGAGTCTGCTTGTCCCTCCCCCTCTGCTCCTCTCCCCACTCGCACGCCCTCTCTCTCTAAAAGAAATAAAATCTTGGGCGCCTGGGTGGCTTAGTCATTAAGCCTTTGGCTCAGGTCATGATCCCAGGGTCCTGGGATCAAGTCCCACATCAGGCTCCCTGATCAGCTGGAAGCCTGTTTCTCCCTCTCCCACTCCCCCCTGCTTGTGTTCCTGCTCTCACTATCTCTGTCTCTGTCAAATTAATAAATA